GAGACGACTCATTTCTACATAGATTCATAAAAACTGTGTCCATAAGGAAAAAGATAGATGCCGACTAAATAAGACATGCTCCTAATGGTGGATACCACTCTTTTATCCATCACCGCACAGCCATGACCTTACGGACCAAGTTTGTAACATACTCTAATATTGTGGTATGCTTAAAGACCAAGTAGGAAGATGTTTCTCATAGACTTTTGCGGGTAAAATAATGTGAATTTACATGGGCTTTTTAACCTACAAATTTGGGCATGTCCTCTCCAAAGTCTTATATCGCAAAAATGTCCCTTTATTTGAAAATTGAGAAAATTATTCTTTTCCCAGAGCCTCTTGCTTTTCTTGAGTTTTATCCACTGATTCATAAGGCTTTCTTCATAATCTTCATAATCTATGGATAAGATCCATGTTTGATAAATATATCATGATGTTGTATGATTGATTTTACAATTTCAATAAAAAAAAATGGGAATTGTCTACAAAGAGACTATTTATCTTTTGTAAATGGAGAGCACAATATCTGAAGTGAATGACTGTTGCATGACTATTGTCAAATGGATAAAGAAGGAAGTTGTATACTCATGGAGGTTCCATAATCTAATATCAAAAGGGAGTGATTGTTGTATGGAGATGGAATGTATTGTTAGACATATTTATCGAGAAAGTAATATGGAGGCTGATGGACTTGCAAAACTAGGTGCATATGATAGCAGTTTAATTGTTGAAAGGCTATGAGAAGTAGTTTTGTTGTAGCTTGTTAGGTCTCTTATAAGTTGGATTTGAGTGCCTTTGTTTGTAGCCTTGTGGAATAAGTTTTGTTATAAAGCTGGTTTTGATCAATATACAGAAGGGACTAATCTTAAAAGATGGAGGTCATAATCATACTTTCTCATTGTATGTCAAATTGAATAGCTTGAAATTTTTTTTTTAGACCTTTGTGTATATTCAATGACACTCTTACAACCATTCATTTTGTAATTGGATACCGTTTGTATAGAGTCGAAGCTCTAAACAATCAAAATATAGCGCACCTTCAAATAATGTCGAAAAATATGGTTTCAAAATTAGAAATATTTGTGATAACCTTAAAATATATTTGAAAAAGTATAGAAAGAGACAATTTACCTCTGGTATAAGGTAAGACATTAATCATGACCGTTGGATGTGAAATTGGGTGGCTGAAATTATTTCATTAACCAAGCTCAAACTTCAAAATAAATTTTCTAGAACTTTGTGACATATCCAAGAATGGTTTTAAGTAATTGTGACCACCTTGTATCAAATTTAAATGGTCTCATTGTATACAATCCCAATATATTTTCATATCTAATTATAAAATTAACAATTCAAAATTAGTGCAGATCGAACAGATCTATGTAAACTTAAAACTCTTGAAACTTGACGGTCCAAAAATGTATTATAAAATATATTATTTCTAAAACTTGAAATCTATTTTTTTATCATGTCTACGCATCTTGATGTCGAGATGATCAATTTGAGGATATATGGGCACCAAAACAATCTCTTCAAGTGAAATTTTTGAGGTGGGCTCTAATTTGATTGTTTAGAGCCTCGACTCTGTATAAACTTTTTTATTTGTAATTTAAGGGACAAGAGTGATCGTAACTTATATGTACAAAAGATGAATGGTCTTTTTATAGACTATCTCAAAAAGTGATTGTCTACAAAGAGACTATTTATTTTTTGACTGTAGTTCTATAAGGTTGCAAACTTGAACAATCCAACTAAGGCACACCTCTAAATTTTATCATAGCATGTAATTTTGGTGTAAAATTTTATTAGGAATATCTCAAAATCTATTTTCATATCTAACTATATAATTTTAAACTCCAAAAATGGTTAAAATCAAGTAGATCTATAAACATATCAAAATATTGAAAATGGACGGTTTAGATAATGTGTCGTAAGATGCACTATTTCTAGGACTCAAAATTTTATTTTATTTTAATATTCATACATCTTCATGTTGAGATGATCAATTAGAGGGTTTTTCAACATTAAAAAATATTTTCCAATTGCTTTTTGAGGTACATCTTTCATTTTACATTTCAAGGTTGTAACATTTTCCTTATATAAACTTTTTTTTTATTTTTTACCTATGGAAGTCGCAATCATTCTCACTCATTATATATCAAATTAGGTGGTTTGGAGTGAGCCACAAAGTCTCGAAATATTTTTTTTTTTTTTTTCAGCTTTTTTTCAAGGAAGGGGGGCATTTCATTATTTCACAAGGGTTAGATACACTCAAGATTATTTTGAATATAAAACCACGTTGAGGGCATCTTGGTTATACAAAGGAATTAAAAAGCCAAAAGGAGAAAGTGGCCATGTTCCACATGACCATACATAATCCATAGTCATAAGTTTCATCACGTCTGATCAATATCTGGACGGTGATGGAGAAGGCATGGGAACCAACAAAAATTGACATGATCTACTTGCTAAGTCACACCCACCAGATCGCCTCCCATCAATTCAATGGATGGTATATCCATGGTCATGGATTGTACTACTCTTTTCCATTCTCAACCTTGTAAGCCTAGCTCATCTCTCTCTCTCTTTCTCTCTCTCTCTAAGTATGTAAAAGACTCAGCAATACATACACAAACGTGTGCTATGAACAAAAATAGGAGTCTATGTTTCCTATCATATAAGAACCGTGGCTTAGAGAGAGAAAGCATTCCATTCCCATGCCACTTTCTCTCACAATCACTCACTTTCTCTCTCTTCGATCCTTGTTTTTCATAAATTCTTAACGACCCTCCTCATGCTGCATTCTTAGTTATATGTTCTTCCTCACCCAAACACTATAACACATCAACTATGTGTATATTTCTCTTCCTTTGTTTCTCATGGATTTTTCTATTTACAGTCAAAGTCTTTTGAACTTTCTCTCTACATGAATGCTAGTTGCATGGTTCCGCCATTGATGCTTTGACAAGCTCTGTTCCAGCAATGGCTCTGCATGCTTCACAGTGCATTAATGCCTGACCCCAACCTCATTGCTTTGTAATAGTCGCATGTGTTTTAGTTGATCATTTGGGTCTTAAACGTTATTCAGCTTCTTTCTCTTGCTTGAGAGTTGGCTTCTCGACGATGTTTTGTTTCTCTCTCTTCTTTGTGTCTTGTTGGGTTTGTCTCTTTCCTGAATTTCGTTAGCTGGGTTCCTCTGTTTCAGTTGTTATTCTCTGTTCTTGGGTTTTTTCGGGCTTCATCTGCTTTTTCCTGTATCATAGAGTGAGAAAGTTATTGGCTTTTAAGTTCTCATGGGGCCAACGAGAGGGGGGCTCAAGCGGAGGAGGAGAACTGCAATCGAGGGCAATGGAGTTGCAGCTTCTGATCAAGAACCTGGTGATTGGTGGAATGAATTCTCAAAGAGAATCACAAGTAGAGTTTTTCCTTTCATTGTTTATCTCTCTCTCTAAAGTTTTTTTCTTTTATCTTAGTGTTCATGTTTCTCTGTATGAATAATCAATTGTATTGGTCATGATTCTTAATAATCGATAAATGTATTTAATAATAATGGGTATTGAAGCCTATGAGTAGAATCACAGCCTATGTGATTGATGTTATCTTTACATGTTTTGTTTCCTCGTGAGTTTTTTCATGTATGATTTTGTAGATTTAGTGGCAATGGGTTGATCTTCTTCTTGTTGGGAAATATTCATATAGATTCACATAATCTTCAGTGTAGCTTGTCTGAGTTTTGTGTATCTGGCGTCTATGAGTCATTCTATACTGATAATAAGCAAGCTGAGTTTTGATAATGCCTGGTATTGTGGCATAGAACCTGTAAATTTTATTTCATGAATTGGAACTGTGCTTTCATGAATGCTTCAAGAAGCAAGCCATTCCCAAGGTGAATGTGATGAACTTCTTTGGAGCTATTTGATTTTGCACCTGTGCACATGTATCCTGATGGATCAGACACCGGAGGTGGGATTTATGATCTCCCAAATTGTGATGAAAACTTTGCATATATTCAGAGAAATTCCATTCTCTTTTAGCCATCATAGATTAGGGTACCAAAATTCCCCTCTTTTCAATGAATTCGATTCCATGCACAGTTTACTATATTTGATTAAGGAGCAACCTTCAGGCTCTCTACATAGTGAACATTAATAAGTTCTTACTCTTCCTATTTCACCCACTGTGTTATGTGATTGTCTTCCCTTTGCATCAGAAGATGTGCATTCGAATGCGCCGGGACCTTCTCCTTTTCCCATGTATATTAGATCTCACTTCTGTAGTATATTATGGAATTAATTGGATTTTTTTTATCATTGGGATTCAAGCTTAAAGTTTAAAATTCTCATGGACTTCTCTGGAGTTTTTTGGATACCAACTAGGGCATCCAATAAAATTTCTGAAGTAGCTAGATGTTGAAGTTATCATCAAATGCAGTCATCACATCTCCAAATTGATTGTAGTGACAAATAGTTCTGTACCAATACTTCTGATGGGATTCGGATATTGTTCCACCAAAGCACCAATATAATGCTTGTCCTGTCCTCCTCTTTGTTCATTGTTAACGTGCCTTTCTTACCTTGTGTATCTTTGCATTGAAGCCCTTGTATCATATCGCGTATCTCATTATACATCATTAGATTCTGTCATCAGAGTTTTACCTGGAAACCATACTACAATTGTTTGACATTAGATATCCTAGATGTTACTCATGATCCTCTAAGCTCTTAGTGAATCATATTCCAAGAGACCAAACCACTATTATTTGAATCTGTCGATCACGTTTTGCTGCATTCAATTTTATGGTTAAGACTAGCTTCAATTTTTCATCAGTTTCCTAAGCTGTGCTTGCTACAAAGAGTTCCATTCGGTGCAAATGATTTTCTTTGAGTATGAGAGTTATCTAGTTTCCAATGCTAAGAGACTCACTAGCCATTTTGAGGTCTTAGGATATTTGTGTTAGGAGGAGGAACAGTCGTGTGCCAATAACAAAGAAGATATTAAACTATCTCAAGTCTTCAGTTCAACTTACAGGATTATGCTTGACCTCAAAAGGACTTTTGCTTTCTTGGTTTGGCATGTGTATGGGGTAAACTGTGAGGTGGGTGCATCATTTGGAAGATAGAAACTGCATTCATCTGCAATGAACTATAATAGGGACTCCAGATTGGATAACAATGAGATCTTTCATCTCGGTTCTAAACTAGGTATTTAGGAGTTTACGTATTGAGCAGATTACTCAAGAGAGGTACTTAAGAATTTACCTATTGAGCAGATTACTCACAAAAGTGCTCTGGAGAGCTTATATAATAATGTTTCTATGTCAAATGAAATTGATATATGTTATTTGATTTGGATCCTCTAAAGAACGGCATTTTTTTTAGGAAATTGAGGGCATTGAGTTTTACATGGACACAAAAGAAATCAATTGCTTGTTTAAGGCAAGTGAATTGTGCATTGCATGAAAATTTCAAATTTACTTTTGGAAAGCTAGAGATCAAAGAGAGGTCTTAGATCAATCCTTTTGAGAAAATAAAACCTCGGATGGAATCTTTCTTAAAGTTGATGTTGTACTAAACATCATTAGCAACAGTGTTGTGTTAATATATTGGAAGCCATACCGTCATTAAGGGTGTGTTTGATCGCTTTCTAGTGGTGTCGCGCTTAATTTGTATGTTAAACGGGAAGTGTTATTCTGTTTCTGAAGCCACAGCTTCCAAAACAGCATTAAAAAGCTTTGATTTGGGCAAGCCACAGCTTCCATGCTACCCTATGGTCGCCGCAGCTTACGAAGTTGGTGGAAGAGGTGGCTTTGGCAGCCTCCACTCCACCAATCAAACACACGCTAAAATAACTTTATTTAAGTGCCTTGCTTTCAACATTACCTTCATTAAAATAGTACAATATTATCCTCACTCTATATCATTTTTTATGAGCATGTTTTCCAATTTAGGGATTAAAATCGCGATGAAGCCCATTCCTGATTGAGTTTTTCATAACTTATTTGAGGACCATAGGTACATGCCTTCTAATGAGGAAATTGGTGACATTTCTAAAGTCCCCTACTGTTTTAGGTTGTTGGAGGATGTTTGCAGATATGGTGTGACACATGTATCATTAAGTTCTTCTGAAGCAAATGATTGTCTATTGGATGGTGTGATCTATACTATATGACAACATATACTATGGTAGCTTTTTTTAATGAGCTTGGGGTCATGGAGATGGCATTAGTGCTATTTACTTAGACAAAGAACATTAGTGCAACACTGTAACTTCGTAATTTTTGCTTGTCATATGTTTTATGACAGGATGAAACACATTTAGGAGGAGCATCCTTACAAACTCATTGATGTAACCAGTCTTTTTTACGTTGCTTTTTGATAGGGTTTATTGGGAGTACCAGTTCGATGTACGTATATTTGATGAGGGGCATATTTAGGATTATGATATTTGTACTTGTATATACTTCTAATTAGGGTACAAAAAAGTTAAGTGAAAGACCCATAAAGGGAGGTATACTAGTGAATATCAGCAATGGCAGAAGTGCCCCTGACTATGAAAAAATTACCACGAATATCTCAAATATAGATATACTCTTAAGCCTCAACAACATCCTCAAACTATAACATTGACTACTTTTTTTCACTAATAGTTTTGTTAATATGGTCAACAGCTTGGTAATCTTATTTGTGACATGTTCTGAAGTTGCGGCATACCCAAGATGGATGGCATTATCCATTGTTATATCTAGTCCACCTCAAATTGGCTTCTTCTAGTTGTGGAATGCCTGATTAGTGACTTACGACTTTCAATGTTATCATCTCCATAAAAGACCAGCAGGCGCAGATTTTTAGAAGGTCACTATTCCTTGCCATGGTCAAGAAACTAAAGCACAAGTATGTCAACTGGAAAAGGAAAATAACATGATATGTCTAGTGCAAGCTGTAAGATAATGTATCTAAGGGAACCCTTTCATGAGACTTCCATACAGGATTAGAATTTGCTTTACCTGCACCTGTCGAAATGATATTTTAGTTCATGAGAGGTGTGTTTGGAACCAAGATAAATTTTGAAAGAAATAGAAATCGTCATAAACATTTGAAAAATCTAGAGGAACATAGTCTAAAATCTTGACTAGATCTTTATTTTCTAAAACTCCCGCCTCCTAATAATATTCGGTTACTTGATTCTTACCATTCTGCGAAATCTTAACCAGTTTGATTCAGTCGTTCCCTGAGTTTCTATTTTGTTTCTGCAAAGGAAGAGTTTAGAATGATACTCATGAACACTTGATAATGTATCATAGAATTCAAATCTCAATAAGTTCACTTTCTAAAATCGGTTATGTTAGGGTACTCCTACACATGGAGCATTTCCTTAATGTACTCAACACTTTTGGATATTTGATGCCCTTCTTCTAAATTATAGTAATTTTTTTGTCTAGGGGTATTTTAGGTAATTAATCAATGGTAAAGTAGAAATTCTTGATAAAAAGTTTATGAACTAAAGCAGAGAATGACATCATCTACATGAAGCGTGACATCACCCACATGCAACATTAATTATTACTAGTTTTTCATGGAAATATCTCTATCCCTCTTAATGACCAAAAAATGCCCTTGCTCAAAAAAAAATTTTATTAAAGCAAGGATAATAAATGTCAAAAAATGTTGAATATATTAAATAAATACTCCATGTATAGGAGTACCCTAACATAATAACCCTTTAAAAATATCAAATCATTGGGAAAAATTCAAAATACCTCATTTAAAACTGAAATATAAATGGCAAATGAAACTAAACATGTTCCTTTGAAACAAACTGTTAAATTCAAATTTATAACCAAAAGTTAATGAGGAACATATTTTGAATTGTGAAGCATACAATGCCCCATGAATAGAGTTTGGTAAACAAACTTTCTCCCATTTATTTTAGTCTCATTGCTTTAGGAACTTCTAGATTCTTCTAGGAAGCCATTGAATAGGCATTTGAGCAACATGCTTATATAGTGCACATTATAGTTCTAGGAGCAACATGTATGTATTGTGCACATGTAGAGTTCTTTACCTTGAATCGAGGAGCTCTTGGAAACCATGCCATGTTGTATGCCCTAAAGAGACATTGCCAAAGGCATTTTGGCAACATATTGTGTGTGACTAAGAAATGAACTGCACCACATATTTTTGAAGAGAAGTACAGTTTGATATCATATTCCTCATTTTTCTTCAGGTATCATTGGAAGTGCAATTCGCATCAGTAATGCATTTGGCATATTTGGAATTTTAGTTAGACACGTGCATAATGTGGTTGGGTTGAATTTTTCCTCAAAAAAAAAAAAAAAATTCTTAAGAGGGATTTTTTATCATACAACCCTTTGCAAATGTAAAATGTGTTATGATAAAAATCTTCTACTCAAAGCC